AGGTTACACTTAATGTCCAGACGCAAAACCAAGGGGCATCTCAGCATTTGCTCAAGGATCAGAGAAACTGGACGAAAACCTAATCGAGATGGGGGTCATTGACCCAGAAGCTGAAGTACATACTTATACAGGTTCTTTAGAATTATAAACCACATTAAATTCTTGTGAAATTTAATATTACGTTCCTGTGATGTTGCGTATGTCTCTGAATTGTAGAGCAACAGTTAGCAGCAGAAAGATTTTTTATTAGGACAAACTTTTGCATCGAATTTAATCGTTTAATGGCATCTCGCAAGGTGTTGTAAAATAATGTACATGTATTTTATAGTGAATTGTTTGTAAGTGAGCTGTTGATATATACCTGATGAATATGATTACTACGGCAAGTGTTCAATTTTCATCAATTAATTTTTCTATGCGTCCATAGTTAGAGTGAAATCTGTCTATTTCATTAATTTTCACCAGGAAATAATGCAACTACTATTTGTGCAAAATTTGTACATGCCTTTTTCAAGAACTCATATTGTCTGAAGCAAAAAATCTCTACAAGTTCGTAGTTGATTTTTTTGCAATTTTTGACAAAGCTCATCAATACCCGAAATAAGACTACGCTGTATTTCCTTTACCGCTTCCTTATTATTACGTGGAGCGAAAATTAAAGAAAAAGGGCACGGATTTGAGAAATTTTTGTTTAAATTCATTCGCAAAATACTCAGAACTGCTCATTTTTCCAAAAAAAGATACTTATCTTTTAGAAGAGCTACAACAGGACTATGTACACGGACTCTTGACTGAGGCAAAAATCTCTATTTTAGATTTTGGTAGTTTTACAATTTTTTTTAAATTTCCAAAAAACTGAGCCAATACCGAAAAATATAACAAGCGACCATATGTTTTATCTTCTCTTAATTACATAACTGAATTTTTTAAAATTGAAAGCGTTTTTGAGAATTTGTTTTTTTAAATTCAAAATCGCAAAATAGCAAATGGTCTGTTTCTTTCAAGTACACATGACTTTTTTGAGAGCTAATTTTTACAAACAGACTTGTCGAAAGAGAAAAATCTCTATCTCAATTTGAAGGTTTTTTTCTTTGTTCCAATTGTTGAAAAATGGCGGGATGGTCACGAAAGTGAGATTTGCACCACTCTCTTAAACGTCCCTTGCACTATTCAACAATTTATTAAAATTTCCCAGTTAATTTTTTGACAATGTCCCACGGGCTAGATGAAGTACCCCCAAATTTACATATTTCAAGTTTCCAGTCCGCGCCAACTGAGACAATATCATTTTGGCCGCCGAAAATCGACTGAACGATTTATGTGCTAGGTTGTGCACAGGCGACCGACAGACATTTTGCCGTCATCGAATTTTTCTGATATCCAAGGGACTCACAATAATGATTTTGCTACGCACGTGTTAGGATTTTTTCATATTCAGCAACCTTTGATTTATCCACTCTTTTCTATACCAGGTCCGGCAATAGGTTATTGTGTCAAAAATCACGTTTTCCGCGCACCATTGCCAATCTTTTCTCTTCTTACGTTAGTGGGATATGATTTGAAGTTACTTATCTTACAATTACCACACCAAAACGTAAACAATTGGAGCTCAAAACATCGATGCAGTTCTTTCACTATTCTTGTTGCATCGACGATATGTACAATATGTAATTAAGGTTATTGGACGAAACGTTTGATTGTGGCCCGCCAGGGTGTAATGTATTTACTTCTTTTATGTCAATAAATTATACATTAACGATCAAACAATATTACTTCAATATTTGCAAGTTTTTTTAAACTCTCAAAATGCAAAAAAGACCAAAACGGCTAACTGCATATGAATTGACTCAAGTAATTTCTGTAACTTAATGTATGTGCCATCATAAACGCACTAAAAATGACTATTACGTTTACCTTGAAATTCTCCCTACCAGTTGCTAGTTCGAAATGTTTCTGTATTGTTTTGTTGTTGTTTTTCTCCGAAAATGGTACGAATTAACTGATTTCAACAGATCCTTGTGATTACATATATTTGAATTTCTTTTAAGATAAAAGTCATGGAGGAAATCCTTGCTCTACCTAGCAGGTTTAAACTACGAGTTCTCTGTATCCTCGGCTGCTGTAGCGTTCGACAAATTTACCTGTCGCTTACGAGATACTGGAATCTTTATAAATCGACGGCTTTCCTTAGCCTCCGAAGAGAAAGAGCAGCTGTCACGACCTTACTTGTGTAGCGAAAATGACTCACAGAGCTCGGGCAGGATACGAGAGAGACGTGAACGAGATTTGCACTGTCATTCAACGATTTCATATAAATAGGAGTAATTCCCCCATTAAGTTTCTTTTTTATACAGTATCGTATGTCGCAGTCAGTGCCTTTATATCCCTCACACCACGGTTCGGCCGCTCTTTAGTAACCGGTTCCCAGACGGTACTCGATTAAGGAACCGCGGAGTCTCGAATTGTTTAAATTCGTGAACTTACGCAGAGCTAATTAAAACAATACGGGTTAGCCGAACCACCAGCGCCGGAGCTTTTGATTTAAATTCTATTTTCTCTGTTCCTTGCCTTTCTTTCCTCTCACCTTCATTTAAAGCTCTAAACATAGCATGAGCATTTCTAGCTAATGAATCAAACTTTTAATTAATCGTGATCTGTATTAACTCCTCAGCGACTTCCCTCACCTCTCTGAACTATATCCTCTCTCTCGTCTGACAATATCTCAACTCTTCTCGGTCTGACTATATCTCACTCTCTTCGTCTGCACTATATACTCACTCTTCTGCGGTTTGACTATATCTCACATCTCGGTCTGACTTATCTAACTTTCGGTCTGGGACTATAATCCTCTTCGGTATGATCTCTCTCTCTCTCGGTTCTGCTTATATTTTTTTATATAGTATTAATTATAATATATATATATTTATATATATATATATATATATATATTATATATATATATATATATATATATATCGGCCTGACTATCTCTCTCGGTCTGATTATCTCTCTCTCTCTCTCTCTCTCTCTCTCTCGGTCTGACTATCTCTCACGGTCTGACTCTCTCTGTGCCCGTCTCTCTCTCTGTGCCTGATTCTCTTTGTCTACCTCTCTCTGTCCTTCTCATTTACATTTAGTTGCAGATTTTGCACGTCCCTGAGCAGGCGGGATAATATTGATAAGCGCCGGACCAGCAATAATGTAATAAAATGTTCTCATCCTGAAGATTATGGTGAGAGACACGTTTCCTTGAGGACCCTGGCCTCAAAATTTTAGTTTTTAATGCCCTAGAACACTTCGTTTAAGAATTATTTAATAATATAGATTCAAAAATGCTACGTTTAATAATATAGATTTAATAATATGAGATTCAAAAAAAGGGTAGCGGGTTGAATTGTATATGAATGTTTAGTTTTGTTCTACAGCGCCATATAGTCGAGTAACAACAAAATTAACAAAACATAAACCTTCTGGATGAAAAAACACGTAGATGTGCCAACCTTCAAGGACATCGGTCTCGGAGTTAACCGCTCTTATATTCATTTACCATTATATATATATATATATATATATATATATATATATATATATATATATATATATATATATATATATATACAGAGAGAGATTTTGTCAGTTTTAAAGAAAATATTGTTTTCAAAACTACTTATATTTCTCGCAAAGTCGCGCGAAAACTACACAAATTTTCTAAAAATTATACATGGCCTTACAGGTCTAATATTTCAAAAACAGATTTCATTTAGACAAAATCTATCTTCATTTTTGTAGTTTTAGGGAGACGCCCAAAGAGTTTTGAACTCTTCCAATTTTCGAAATTTCAGAGACTTCAACAAAAATGACACCAGCGGCATTTTTTAGATACTTGTTCTATCCTAGAAAGAAGTTGAATCTAAAAATTTGGAGCCAATTGTAAGTAAATTTTGATAATGTGGCTGAGACATCATATAAAATAACCCCAAAAATGAAAATATCAGTTTTAAACTCGCAGAAGCTAATGTTCGATCAATTTGATCGGGCAAGGAAAATTTAGAGAAAATCATATATAAATGGTTTAAGTGCTACTGTTGATTGCAGACAAACGTTTTGATGTAAACCAATTTTTCTATCAAGAACACCAAAATGTGGATTCTGAGGACACGACATATAAGACGAACTAGTGGGTTACAGCACGGGCTTTCTCGCCCGTACTTTGATGCAACAATACGCGATAATTACTCAAATGTTTTAAAAATTGTATATGTCCTTATTTCAAAATCTATGATTAAGGAACAGATTTCATTAAGGGAGAAAATCTCTACCTTGAAAATTGTAGATGTAGGAAGACGCCGAAATTTTTTTGAATTTTTGTTATTTTTGAAATATCAGGGTTCTCAAATGAAACATGCATCGTTATCTTAAGCATTCTTCACACTATCCAACAACAAAATTTAATCAAAATCGATTTAATAAAAAACGAGGGCGCCATTTTTTTTAAACGTCCCAGGGGATTAATGTAAAGTATCCCCTCCCCCAAATGAAAATATCAGTTTCAAATTCAAGTATCGGCGACATCAACCAGAATTTGGGAATATCAATTTTGGAGTAAATACGCAGAAGGGTTTAGCCGTGTTGTTCGCAGACAGACCGTCAGACGGACGGACGTTTTGCAATCATTCTCAAGGACCCAAAAATATGGATTCTGGATACACCATGTGATAAAGGTTTTTTCTACTACAACTGGATTTATCCACGTTGCATGTATCTACACATTTTTTACGGATACATCTCACTGTCTTCGCTATTTATTTATCTCATTTTCATCCTGAATTCGTGTCAAAAAGGAGTGTCGAAAGAGATAAAAGTTGCCAATTATAGACAAACATGAGAATGAAGAAAGTTGGAGTGTGGAGAAGGCACACACTTGAAAACAAAAACAAGAAACTGGCTTACCTTTCCGCATGCTCGGCAGTGATGTCTACGTTTGAGCACTGTAAACTTACAGCAACAGAGCATACATGTAGGTGCCTTGTCATCTGGAACCCACATGGGAGGAATTCGTCCAAGTTTGCTATGTTCGTCAGACGTACATCCAACCTCATTACTGGAAGTTTCAACTTCAGATGCCAAAATATGTTGTAGAGTAAGCTCGCTAGACGAAGCTTCTGACGTGTCTGGCGACGAAAGAACGTGATCATCGCCAGCTGTCGAAGATACGCCACTTTCCAGAGTCAACCCTAATCCATCAGCTGCCGTATCCATTTTCTCCACGAATGGATCTGAAATTCAAAATAGTCACAGATTCACACAATCTTGATTAAAATTCAAATACACAATTTAAATCATGTTTAGTATTCACTTGATACATTGAGTAAAAAAAAAATTAATTCGGTCAGCAGTTCAGCGGCAGTATTGTTTAGCTGTTAACGGGGTCAATGAACAACGTAATCGTAAAAACATGGACGAAAACATTCAACTGAAATACTTATAGCAAGCAAGAATAACAGCCGTATGTCTCTCGTTCCAAACATATTCACTGATACATTTTTGAACCCATCCGTATTTCCCCTTCAGAAACCTCCAAAAGCATTAACCAAATTAAAAAAAAAGAAAGTCAGCCAGTTACAATAATATCACCAACAAAGCCCTTAAAGAATTAAACAGAAGAACTGCAGCCACTCTAACTGAACTAATACTACTCTTAAGATTACAATATTTTCCTCGATGATGGAAAACAGCTATTACTACCTTTCTGCAAAACAGGAAAAATGCACGAAACCCATCACATTGCAGACCAGTCTTCGTCCATCCTCGGCAAAAAGTTTTGAAGATTATTACCAAGTAGACTTGTTTTAACAGCAAAAACAATAATTGACTTCCAGTTTGGCTTCAGATTTCAATATTCAACAATCCACCAACTAAGTACTTCGTCTAACTGAATAGCCACTGCATTCCACCAACGACAACAAACATTTGCAATTTACTTTGACATGTAAGAACTGAGCTGATCAGAAGTGAGCAGAAGAGTTCTCTATACTATCGCAACAGACAAGTGAAGTACCACTCAGCATGCGTTGGAGACTTCAGGGGAGACAATCTAGTTTGCAGGCGGATGTGGGCACGTCAAATAAGAATATTAAATGTCATCCCGCTGAACCTGTCAGATTCTGAGAACAATACCTACTGGCCTCGAAGGTGGACTTTTCGATTGCATGTAATGATTCTTGCGAACGTGTTTACCAGTGGATTAAGTTATGGGAAAATTGAAACCATGCTCCATTGTTGTAATTTATTGAGGACCAGTTGAAGTTGCTATTGGACGACATTGATGCTCTTGAGGAACAAAATATGGGAAAATCATCCACAAAAAGATATGGCTTTACAGATTCTCGCATGAACGATGCTACACTATTTATTGCAATGACATACAGAGTGACACTCAGAACCGACCCTTCCGGGATGCCGTTTTCAAGTGGGTGACTGCTAGATAGCTTGATACCAACGCGAACACCAAAGGATCCGCTCGAGATTAAGTTTTGGAGGAACAGGAGAAGCTTGCACCTAAATCCCCATGAGTGCAGGGTTGGCAGATCGCCGTATGTGGTATCGTAGGCCTTTTCGATATCGAATACTACTGTCACAAGGTATTGCCTTAATACCAACTCTGACATTTCCTTTGCCAGAGCAACAAGGTCATTCCGAGTTCACCGGGATTTTGTGAACCCACAGCGGATGTCTCAGCATTTTTCTACAATCTAAGATCCCGACAAAATGCTGATTGTCCGTAAGTTTCAGCACTTTGCATACGCAGATGGAAAGAGATTTAGGTAGGCAGTTCGATGATAACGAGAGGAGAAATTGCGTGGCCATTCCAGGAAGATGTAGCAGAATTAGGCTGTGAATTTCGTCACGACCTGTGTTTATCAAGAGCAAGAGCAGAAGGCAATTCACACATAGTGAATTAGGTCTTGTAATTCTCAGTCGCTATGCTTGAAAAATCAAATTCGCCATTATTGCTTTAATCAAAAGAAAGCCCGGATCGTATTTCACGAAACATTACACTTTAGCTTGCCGCGTAGCAAGTTCATCTCCAAAGACACTCCGCGATATAATGATCTCCTTTCGTACCAGACGAGGTGCGACATAGCGATTGACGCAAAAGACGTATGGCCTTCACGATTCAGTTTTGCTCTCTAAAATGGTTGTCGCCTTCGCTCACCACCTATTATATTCACTTAACACGGTTCGATAAAGCTTCAATCGTGCCAGTGCCATTGTACGGGAGCTGTCCGCTCTACAACACTTCCACGGGTGTATCATTTCCGTCCATATCGTCTAAGGCACTATTCCAGAGGTCGAGAGTAGCTTTTAAGGTGGATCAGGCAGTGCGTTGTACGATCTATTGACGGGTCGGGAAACCCACGACTTGGTCCATCAATGTGGACGATGGCCACTTCCATATTTCAGGTCTTCTAATATGATGAACGGATGCATAACAGATCCAAGTGAAAGGCTGCAAAGGACTACGTCAATAGACGTGCTTAAGTTCGTCGCTGAAGGCAAATGTGTCTGTTCACCTGTATTGAGAACCACAAGATCAGTGGCACTGGTAACATTACAAACTGACGCCCCTTTGACAAGTACGGGCTGTGGGCATACGCCGAAAGCGGCCCGTGGGCGTTTACATCCTCAACAATCGAGAAGGGTGTGTGCGGTTGATTATTGGACTCAAGCAGTCATCAGCCGACATTTGTCGTGGAGGGATGTAAATATTGCATAAGAGGCGTCCGGAAAGGGAGGTACCATAGCGCGTGCACACGCACACTGAAGGTCTGAATTAATATAGCAATTCAGGGACTTCTCTAAAAAGCGAGGCTTCACCTCTAAAAGGATTATCAAAGTCATATGGCAGGACAATATTAATTCGTCCCGGCAAGAGCAAAAACCATTTAAGACCAGGACTGAGGAGCAATATTGTTTGTAGATATTAACTTTTTTCCATTCTTAGGTTTTCCGCCATTGGTTCCTGAAGGATGAGTGTCCACCCAGACTGAAGTTTCTTCCGAAGCAGAGACAGCATGAGCACTGCTTGACAGGTTGAGTGATCACTCAGAGCTAATTTCGGAAGTTCGATGAGGTGGTCGGGGATTCGAAGAAAATAGGTCGGTTAAAGGCAAGCCCCGCCTTCCACTGACGTCTCCACTGGGACGTTCATAGGAAGCAACTGGAAACAGAAGTGCGCCACTGGGATTGCAACAAGTGAAGTTTGGCACATTGCTGTTCTTTAATAACCGTTTTGGTCACGACACTGGAAAAAGACAGAAACACCCACAGGAGTATTCGCCAGGTACCGAATTTGGCCTCAGGAAAGGACACTTCCTCGGTGACTAGACTTCTGAATCTCCCTCTCCTTCAGAATGTTAATACACTAGGAGATTGTCGCATGGTCTCATTCGAAGTCCACACAAAGCAATAGTGTAATGCGGTGCAAAGTTCTATGTATTGATTTGCCGAACTTGGCGCAAGTAGGGCTTTCGGCCGCGCACCTTTTTGCGTATTGTCGGCAAGTTTGCATTCGAGAGATTCTTTCTGGGAGATTTGAGAGATTTAAAATTAGACAATAAGTGAAAAAGCCTCTCCTATGCCCCATCATTGAGGTTCAGAGGCGTTTCAACTGCCAAGGTCTTTGGCGTCTTTGTAAAAGTAATTTTAAAAACTGCAAATAGTTTTGGTACAATAAGCGCTATAAATGCAACACGACGATAAAAGGAACAATTTTAAAATTAAAAACGCAAAAAATTAATAATAAAATCCCTAATTTTTTTTTAAATATTAGACGACATCATTACACAAAAAATACACGATATAGACAAAATCACTTTTGGTTTCGTCTTTAAAATATTAGTTACTGTAAAGCAAAGTAGATTTAAGTTAAAATGGACGGAAAATATATCACTCTTTGTCACTACTCCTCAATGTGGAAATGACGCATTTTGCGCGTAGAAATTTTTTAAATCCATTTTGAGACAAATCTGGAAGTTGAAATTTACACTGCAATTTGGTATCATAACGATATTTTACATTGTAAAATTTCAAATGTTTACCTGGTCCCCCAACAGGGTTATTAAAGTCAAAAATTGAAGAAAAAATTAAAATTATATTTCTTAGGAGTGTGTAATTTTTACGTGGTGCGCTTATTGTTATTTCACGTAAAGAAACTAAACAGGTGTAAATGCACAGAAAAGTTAAGACTATAACTTTTTACTTTCCTGTGTACGTACGTATATACGGAATACTATACGTAGTAAACGCAGTTATGCAATGCTGCGAAAATTCGATTTCAAGATTTCAACGGAAATACACGTTGTAGGGTGTTTTTTTTTGTTTTGTTTTGTTTTGTTTTTAACGTCCGTCTGTCTGGTGTCTGTGTACACTATTAGTGCCTAAACCACGCGTAGCATTTTTTTTTCAAATTGAAGAAACCCCTGTCAATCTGGTTTGAGTCTAAACTTAACTAAAAAGAGCTTCAAATCTTGCATTTATAGAAGCGCTTAAACACCATTTTCTTAAAAACGGCTTGCTTTATTTACTTGGTGTAATATGTTGGGTAGTCAGTACACGACTTGTCGTTCTTGATAACGAAACATTGGTTCGGCAAAGCACCGGTTTCAGCAAAGACCCACTTGGAAGCAACTTTTGCCGACATTGGTTGCGTACGTCGTGGACTGGTTCCGTCCCCTCAACGCATCGTGCACCGCGTTGACTTGTCTACATTTCAAACAAATGTGTCTCCGATGTTCACTTCGACGTCGTGGACGGAATGGACGCACTCTCCACGATGCTAAACTCTCAACTTTTTCCACTGCAATTCCGAAATCCACTGGCAAACCGCTACACCCTTGTACCGTAGTGGAATTTGAAATATTCTAAGGTGGTAAGCGCCAATAATACGTATACTGACACGACTCAAGAATCATCCTATCGTAGAAAATCTAATACAATACCAAAAGGTGTAGAACGAAAGGGGAAAAAAGAAAAAAAACAAAATCACATTGTGGGGAGTATAGCTCACGTCTTTCAATTTCCATGCCCTATCACATCTGGTACGGAGTACAAACGTCAAATCAAATTATATTCATCACTAACCATAATGCCAGACATTGTTACGAATGGATTGATGATTACATCTCGCTACGTCATTGTGGAGGAAGTGTGCTCACCATGAATTGATATCGAATTCGGCGAACGCGCCAGACTGTTTGGGTTAAATAAAGAATGAAAAATACAACTGAACATTTTGGGGCTAAAGGCGACGATCTTAGTATTCGGTACATCTCAGTAGGTCATGAGGATGAAGCTTCACTTTCCTCAACGTGATTCCGCACAATAATTCATTGACTTTACAAGAACATCCTGTAAGTAGAATTGGTTTTCCGGGACAAGAATACAGAGCCCTGGTTGGAAGTATTAAACAGAAGAAGTGGGTGTGGAGTTTGAACATACGATGTAATGGAACAAGATTATATGACGCGCTGGAGAAGTCATGTGCTGCTTCCGCTGCCATCCGGCAAAGGAAACGCGAAATAAATATTTACTAGTTGAGGTTATATTTCTACCAACTCAGACGCTTGTAGAAAAGGCGTCACTGGCAATGCACACACTAACAACGTGAATTGTGGAGAATGAAAGAGAAAAGACGATTGCGAGATTTTCGTCAGAGGTAACTGACTGTGATGTGTGATATCAGGGCAGCTCCTAGCACATAGTATCACTGATGCTACACAACAGCAAGAACAACATCAACGAAGCTATTCACTTAAAACAATAATTTGCCTTCAGAAATAACACTAAATTCTAATAACTAAAATACCACCATAAGTTATGATTTCGCGCTCGCGTAACCTAAAACAATAGAGTCACGTCATGTTGGTATTAAAATTAAAAATTGCCCCCAACTATTTACCTTTTCATTGCGGTCTCGTCTCTACATGTGAAACGAAAATGAAAAAAAGAAATATTTACACCACTGTAGTTTTTTACTATAAAATTTATTTTAATCAACATAAAATTGTCACAAGTTGGGCAAAGTCACCAATTTAAATTGTAAACCTGAACGAAAGCCCTTCCATACTGCCTCTCCTCATGTGCAGAATTAAGTGATAGAAAAGGTCGTTCAACTTGTAGCGCGCCACAATTGACTACCGGAATTTACTAAAGGGAAGCAAAACAAATTGTCGCGGATCTTAAGCATACTCCGCAGCCAGAGCTTCACCACCGCTATGGCTTCAACAAACTACACAAGTAGCAGATCAGTAGGCAAAAGTATTAGCGACTTGTCTTAACAAAATTGTCTTCACACAACACGAGAACGGTACAAACTAGCAATTGAAGCAATGAAAGTATTCTTTACATTCTATTTTGAACACATACAGCAAGATTGCCAATTTTGGTTATTTTTTAGTGCGTATATTGCATTACAGACAAAAAAATCTGAGATGAAATGCTGCAACAGCACAAAAAACACTAAATGTATCGACTCTATTTCAAATACATCAATTCCATTTTCAATCAACTTCATCAAAATTCCATTTTCTGAGATCTCTTGGAGTTATGAGATATCTACAATTTATTACACTACCCGAACATACATTTAATTACTCTTGCATCCAAGCAACAATACAATCTGATTAAAAATATATATTAAATAAATATTTACCTGTAACAGATTCTGAAGGACGATCTCTCAGGAAATGTTTACTCTCTTTCTTTGCATTTTCTGGTTGGTTCTTCAGTGACGTACCACCACTACAATTCTCCAAGGAAAGACAACTTGAATCTTCGAAAGTGTGATGCGAGGTATTGGAACTGGGTGGATATGCATGATTAGCAGAAGTATCGCCTGTAGGGCGTACACATAATTCTGTAGAAACTGAAGATGTAGAGGGCTCAGAAACCTCCACGTCCCGAACATTACAAGTAGTAGCAGAACAGTTTTCTAAAGCATTGAGAACTGATGTGTTGTGGAGATTATCCGCAGATTCTACAAGCGGAATAGAGGAAAGATACGAAGTAGCTATTGGGGCAACGGAAGTATCATTTATATAATTCATATTTAACACAGAAACTGTAACAGAATTTTTACAGTCAGATTCAACAGCCGAACCCTTACTTGAATCAAATGTTGCAGGTGTTTCGTCAACATTTTTAAAATTAGCGTCAATAGTATTACTAGTTCCAACAATGGTAGAAATGGAAGCAGCAGAAGAAGAGGTAGTAGCAGCAGAAGTAGTAGTGGTAGTAGCAGCAGTAGTAGTGGTAGTAGCAGCAGTAGTAGTGGTAGTAGCAGCAGTAGTAGTAGTAGTGGTAGTAGCAGCAGTAGTGGTACTAGCAGCAGTAGTGGTAGAAGCAGAAGTAGCAGCAGCAACAGTAGTTGTAGTAGTAGAAGTAGTAGTAATATTAGCGTTTGTAGTAGTCTTGGTAGTAATCGTATTAGTAGTACTAGTAGTCATATTTGCAGTATTATTACTGGTAGTAATAGCAGAAGTAGTAGAATGACAAGTAGTAGCAGCATCAGTCTCAGTCGTGCCAACAATGGCGGTGTTGGTAGTATTATTATTAGTAGTAGGAGGAACAGCAGCAGCACTATCAGCCGTAATGGTAGTAGTAGCAGCAGCCGTAATGGTGGTAGTAGGAGCTGCAGCAACAGTGGTTGTGGTGGTGGTGGTAGTAGCAGTAGTGGCAGAAATAGGTAGTGGAATGGTATCTATAGCATTAGCAGCAGCTGCACCGGTAGTAGTAGCAGCAGCCATAGTAGTAGTGTTAGTGGCAGTGGCAGTGGTAGAGGCAGTAGCAGTGGCAGTGGTGGTGGGGGTGGTGGTAGTAATACCCGTAATAACGGTAGTAGAAGCAGCTGTAATAGTAAGATTATTATTAGTAGTAGTAGCAGCAGTATTAGTAGTAGGAAAGGGGGCAATAAAAGAAGTAGTAACACTTCTACTACTACTAGCTGCAGCAGCAGCAGCAGTAGTAGTATTAGTATTAGTAGCAGAAGAAGAAGAAGAAATAGTATCAGTAGTAGCATTAGAAGAAGCAATACTAGTATTAGTAGCAGTGGTAGGGTCAGCAGCAGCAGCAGCAGCAGCAGCAGCAGCAGCAGCAGCAGCAGCAGCAGTAGTGGCAGTAACATCGTGGGCAGTAGACACAGTGACAATAGTACCAGTTGCCGTTGCATTAGTAGTTGCAGCAGTATCAGTAGTAGCAGTGGCCGTACTACTAGTGGCAGCGGTGGAAGTAATAGCAGCAGTAGCAGTAGCAGGAGTTGCAGCAGCAGGTGCTGAGTTGGTACTGGTTACAGTTGCAACGGAGACGGCAATAGCAGTGGGGGCGGAGGGGAAAGTGGCGACGGAGGAGACGATAGGGTTAGTGGCAGCAGTGACGGTGACAATGGATGAAGAAGATGAAGTGGTAGCGATGGAAGTGGTATTGACGCCGCCAGGAGAGATTGAGAAATCAAGATCTGGAATAGTACAAGGAACAATGTTGTGAAAGCCAACATCAGGAGTTGAAGACTCGCTTGCGTGCACTTCAGAAGATATATTTTGAGCTGTTGTGCTAAGCGTACATTCAGTGACTAATATATCAGAAGAGGAAGAATATTTATAGGTAGGGCTGGGCAGATCTGAGAGTGTAGGACTAATTGGATTTGTATGGATATCACACTCGAGGCGTTTCTTTACATCTATATCAGCAGCTCCTTCGTTCGTAATTCGGTCCAATGAAAAATAAGTATCACATGATTCCAGGCTATTAAGATACATATTTAAGAATTCGTCACTAAATTCTTCGTCTTCATAAACTACTGGAAACACTGAAGGCTCTAATCGATTAATATTCTCTGAATCTTTTTTCGTTGGCATGTTCGATGATACATCTTGAAATTCTTCTCCTACTTTGATTGTGTCTTCACTATTTTTATTCTGCTCCACAGAACACGGCCCTTGTTGCGAAAGTTCGTTGGATGGTTGGAACTCATTTTTTGATTCCCCTGTTGAATTTTCTTCAAGAATTTCACCTAAAAGGATACAAAAACTTATCATATATTCTTATAAGTATTTCTCTGTTCATTGATTTTCACTCATTTACAATTGAAGTAAATTACATTGGAAGTACCAAAGACCCTACGTATCAAATTTTATTTTTTCAAAAAAAAAAAATACAATGCATTTTCATCATAAACTGAAACATGATACAATACATTCAAATTACTGCAAATCCTATATAGAGCATTTACATCAATAATACTGTAATAAATAATAAAACGTGTTAAGGTGAGATGTATGGGAAAATGCGGGGGAAAAACTTTTCTAGATGAAAATTTAAAAATGTAGCTTCATAATTTTCTTCATGAATGTGCCAAATATCTTTTTTAAATACAAGTGTAGGAAATATTTCAATTTTTGCAGAGACGCGCGATTTTTTCACACATCTCTGAAAAGAGTTAAGAACCAAACTGGTTCAATGAAAAGTTAAGTGCCCCATCTGGCAGCGGCAGGCTATCAATGCCAGTTGCAGATTGGATGGGCTACTAGTTACTTGACCTCATCTATCCTTCCTCGCCCCTTCTTCGCAAGAAGTGTGATTGTGCGCCAGACAACGGTCCCTGATAACGTAAAAATACATAAAGTTCCGATATACAGTAAATTACTTCCTCTAACACGTGTAGTCGCAATCCATGTTTCGTGAGTCCTTGATATCAAAAAATCAATTGACGGCAAAATGGGCGTCGGCGACGTCTATAGGAGGCATGATAACTGCCACACTCACCACTTCACACAAAACTGCGAAACGCCCAGGCCACCCTCAAGGCGGACCTTCTATACACTCACTTCGCACCGCGGGCGTACGACCGGATCCGACAGGCATTAGTCCAAATGGGAGGTGCGAAGAGCAGAATAGAATTAACAGCGCTAGACAGTAGCCTTCGACTTACTTTATCTTGGACCCCCAACTTTAGGCATAATTCGTACCATGGCGGAGGCCATTCGAGACTCTTTCTCTCAGACTATAGGCAAGAGCTCGTCGAAACGCAGTCTCGCGTCAATCTGGACTCATAAATATCTTAGGGGCTGCTCGGAAGCTATATTACTACCTGCCATTGTCCACTCGTCTGTCGTGTTTCCATATCAGATTAATTGTAATGATTTTTGTAGAACTAGGGTGGTCTAATCAGGAGACGAAACGTATGTGACATTGCCATTTTTACACCCTCGCGCTTACTTCATAAGAAGAGAAAGATATGTAATTGTAAAACAGCGAAATTTCGGCAGAACTTTTATTACTGGGTTCTGGTAACGAAAAGTGGATAAAACCTGTTGCTACATATATATTCAATAACTTCCTTTACACGTGGTGTCGTCGCAATCCATGTTTTGTGGGTGCTTCATGCCGAACACGGATTCACGGCGAAATGTCTGTCAGTTTGTCCCTGGTCAAAGCTAGCACCTAAACCGTTCATCCGATTTTCTCGAAAATTGATATTCCCCGATAGATCCGAACAAACTCGCTCGATATTTTGATTTTTGAGGCTACGTTACATAAAGCCTAAAAAACATTCTCAAAAAAATTGCAAATTTTGAAATAACGCAAGTATGTGCTTTTGTAGCACTTTTTTTTTATTTCCAGGAATCAAAACTAAAAACTAAATACAGGGCAAATAATTACGCTATGGTATCTGTTTTCGTTACTACAGAACCGTAAATGTACATGGACCTCACAACCCTTGTACAGGTATTGATGATAGCATAGAATCACTGAACAAAACCTAAAAAAACATTTATTAGCACTTATGGCTTTGGTACTTCCACTTGACAACTTCATTAAATACCTGCTTTGAGGACTTCAACTTGTGAACCTGATTCCTCCCCTGGTGATACAGAACGAACATCGGCATCACCTTGCCAATATAAGCATTCAAGAGTCTTCCGAAGCAACTCTTCGTCATTCGCTTCATTATCTGCAAAATCAATGAAGTAAATAATACATTAAATTAACACTTTGAAGTTTACAACACAAAAATCTTTATAGATTTTTAAAAGACAGAGGAAAGCGATCCGGCAAAAGTTCGAGGATTGGGGTTGATTTACATTCCATTCATTTTCATTATCTTGTTCCAGGTAAATCCTCAGAATAGTCAGTAAACAAAAAGAAATATATGCCTGTGAGGTTTAGATGAATTTCCGGGGTGCTAATTAAAACCTTGTGCGCTTGCGTTTATACAGCCGTTAAGTCACATTTTCAGAGTTTATTAATGCACAGAAATATTTCCAGATATTTTCAAAAGTGGAAAAATCAAGCCACTTTAAAAAGGCAAGAAAAATGAAATTCAAAATGATCGGCCAATTTATCTTTAATCGGTATTCTAAAAAAAATTAGACTTTCTAAGAGGGATATGGCAGAATTCATGGCAATTATTGTTTTTTTCTAAAAGAAATATTAACGGATCACACAATTTTATTTGTCGCGTAAAAGAAATGCAGTACTAGTTTATGTTTACAACAAATGTTTCTTGCAGTGTCCCTATTATTAGCACAGTGAGCAATGTAAAGACAGTTGTCTAACGCCGTGCGAGATGCATGTAATCATTTCAAAGTAACGCTCCGTCATCAAGACAGCCGTTTCCCGACGAAGAAATGCCATAGGATGTCACAAGGAATTGGTGGAAATTATTGAAAATTATGCCCTGAAATGGAAATAATACCAGACAGTCGCGAGACACCCAGGAGAGTTTCAGTGAAGACGCGGAGAAACCTGCGATCAGCAACGCACAGGAGACCGGCGAGTGCGCGTTTCTCGATCCCACTTGCGATCTTTGACTTGTCACGTCGTGCCAAGGGGCCAGATGGACCACACATGTCGAAAGGCCAGCGAGGGGGCGGGGGCAGTCCTTTGGCGGCAAGAGGAAGGCCACCAGAGCCGGGGCCTCCTCAAGGGCCGGGGTGGACGTGTCTCGGAACGCGGGTGTCAACTGGCGCAGAGGGAGATGATGGGGGAGTCCAGCCGCGGTGCAGCTGGACTCCAAAATTGCAAACAGGCCCAAGTTTCGGGATGAGAGGATGCCGCCGGCACGGGAGGTCTATCCCGTGACCCCTCGCGAGGCGGCTGGAGAGGAACCAGCCGTGGTCATTCGTTGTCGAACGGAATCGCGGAGCGGAAGGCACATTTCGCCCGCCAGGGGTTATCGCGAGCTTCGGCAGCAAGGAGTGGCGGTTGCCACGGGACGAGAGACCAGGAGCGGCGCCAAGTCGCTGGGGTCTGCGTAGACTGGGGCGGGGATGCCTCAGAGATGTGCAGTGCTGAGAGTGCAGCGCTAGTTTCCGAGGAGTGTATATAATGTATAAAAACTTGCAAATAAATCTGTATAAAACAACTCCGTGTCTGTGTGTTACTCGCACCCGAGACTTTAGGAGCGTCCATCGCCTGCCTCCCTCCAGCAGGTACACGATCACCGCTCGTGCCACATCGCTCCGCACACTCGCAGGTCTCCCGTGCGTTGCTACGCGTCCTCGCTGAAACTCTCCTGGAGATAAATTTACAAAAGGTTGAATAAATTATATAATATGAAAACTACAGAAATTAATGACGAAAATGAAAGATGATTATAAGGGGGGAAATACAAAAGAATATTGAGAAAATTCAGTTAGGGGAAATTCAAAATTATGAAAATCGGAAGTGTAACAAATCACGGTCCAGTTATTAAAAATATAGCTGTTAAATCCAAAAAAGTAGAATTTGAAAATGTAGTCTACAAAGCGAATTGTCTAGCGAATCGTGAACACAGCTACATAGGGTAGTCGAAAAGAAAATTGACAACGCGCATACGAGAACATAGAAACAATAATACAATACATCCCTTGAAAGACGCAATTCTCTTTGAAGACATAGATTAGAGTTTGGTCATCGCATCGATTTTGACAATGAACGAGTGTTGGATAAAGAATGTAAGATACATCCTAGGCTCATCTCTGTGAAGCTCGATAAAAATAGTACCATGAATTCAATAGTTGAGAGTAATATATTTACATTTTTTATGACAATGCCTTTTTTTTAAAATGAAATATTTAAATGTGGGTGTTCTATAAATTATTAATAAATTTTGGTTCATTTATTTTCCCCTTTCCTAACTTCTGCCTTCCCTTACCTCCTGATGAAAACCGTTTAGGCTGGAACACCATTTCTGTTTTTAATTTTGAACCCGAGACAAAGCCTTCTGGAGAACAAGGCCAGCGCGCTGCGGGGAAAAATGATCGCGACGTCACAGCATAGCGACCTGCGTTCGGTTTTCCTTCCCACAGTCTGCTCGTGTGTTGCGCTGGTGTCGTGGTAGCCCATCTGTTTTCGTGCTCACGTGTCATCTATTACTTGTCTAGTGCCAGGTGTGTTAAGTGTCAGCATGCTACGCAAATGTTGCGTACAACTGACTGCTGCCAGCCAATAATGGGAATTATTTAAGAGGATATGTTGTTATGAATTTACTTTCCCCAAAGAAGAGGACTTAGGCGAAATGGGTTAAAGCCATCCACGGAGAGAATTTCGCCCCTACAAAGCAGTCAGTTGTAAGTACAAATGAAATATAATCAATATATTTGTAACTACAATCATATTTATGTATACATTTAAACTGTTTGTATCTTACGCGAGCTGAATATTTGGTCACTGTGTGCTCTAACCTAAACTGAATGCAGATGCTTGTAACATGAGATTGTCAGAAATGTAGATATTTTGACTATTGACGGTGCGCGAATTATGCTAATTATATTAATAAAAGTAATGATTTCACTGCACAGAAAAGGGTTACATAAAACGATGAGAAAATAATAAAAGGGTGTTTTCTTTCCCATTTCTAATCCATTCTATCATTTTATTTAAATCATTTCCCAGAAATAATAGTTAAGAGTGCTTGAATATAAATGAGCACCTGAATAAATAAATCCCACGCATTTGAAATATATTTCGCTTGCTCATTATACTAATACTGGATATTCAATCACAATGGTTTGAACGTACGTTTTTTAAGTGATTCTAGGCATGGACTTATTTAATATGAAAACGATAGTTCGTGTAACACCAAGTTCGCGGACTCGATCGGCCGCATACCGTAATTTGCAACGGGGGGGGGGGGGGTTGCGGCATTGTATCTTAGATGACGCTGCCTGACGTAATCCAACTGTCTACAGAGTGATGAGAGGAGTTGCGCGCCCCGCGTCAACCAGGCGACCCCCACTTGGCTTCGTCCCGGCGTGTTGTGAGTGACGCTTTATTAGACACCGGTACTAGCCCTGACAGCTAGTAGCTATAAGCTGGCAGTGGCCCTAACCAGGCTTAATTGGATGTGGGGTGTTGCGTCTCAGTGAATCCGGATGCCAGCCTGACGGTGAACTTGCACGCCTCAGGGGGTTGAGGATAAAGGCCGCGAGCCTAAGTGCCCACTCTGGGGAGCCATCCCCCTAGTATTAGAAGTACGGGTGAGATTGTAGCCTACGCTGGGTGTTCGTTGTCCTGTTTGTTCGGGGCAATCTCTAGAACGGCTAAACCGATTTCGATACTGCTCTCAATGAACGAAGAAGTGTTTTCTCTGATATAATTTCTGCTACTTTTTTGAAATCTCTCATATAAAGAAGGTTTAGATGTTTGTTCATTAAAATCTACACTTTCATCCCGATCTTACTGAAATTGTATCGACGTGAAGACCAAAAACTTTCTGAAAACCCACACAATGTTCTACTAAATGCACTTTCATTTCATTACCGCAATTAGGTCCAGCGTAAACTAAAGTAAAGGTTCCTGCGGCTGGCACCAACAGATACGTAGATGACTGGGAGACGCTAGAATCAAATTTCAACGATTTGGCCGGCGAACTTCGTCAGGGCGAAATGAAGGAAGGTGAACTGCGCAAGGGTTTGTATAGAATGCGGTAGCCCTCCACCCAGCTGCCAATTGGTCGGACGATTGGCATATTCGGAGACAGCATCGTCCAATCAGGGATAAGTCCCCTGACGCAACCGGGCGTTGCTGTAAAATGCGTGTGGAGCCTTGGTGCCGAAAAAGTGGATAATCTTTTTTCCCGTACGTAGAACAGATTGTGTAGTCAGAATCCACGTTTTATCAGTCTTCGATACTGAAAAATTGACAGCAAAAAGTATGTCTGTTTGTCCATTTGTGGTCAACGCTAGGGGCTAAATAGTTCAATTTTCTCCAAAACTGATATTTCCCTACCGGTCTGAACGAACACCAGGCTCTGCAAATTTGCAACGGATATTTTCATTCCGAGGGATACTATACATGAAACCTCAACATTTTCTCTAAAAATGATTCCAAATTATTAGATTAAACATAGTAGAAATATCTGATTTAAAAAAATTAAAATGTTCAAAATTTTTTTCGCAACTACAATATTAAAGGCAAATTTTTGGAAAATGAACATGTTAATCATTTTTGAAAGACAAATCTTGAAATACGAGTAAATTCATGTACAATTTTTCAAAAACTGGTCGTTTTGCGTGAAATATATGCAAATTTCAAACAATTTTTTCAAAAAATCGCACGATTTTTGAATATTTTCACTGGATAGAAAAGTATGCGCTTAAAATCGACGCAGATCCCGTTTTCGGCAAATTCTCTATATTTTCGAAAAAAAAATAACACGGTAAAACGACAAAATTACTAGATATCTTTAATGAAATCTGTGCTAGAAGTGCATATTAAAATGATCTCGTACATTTTTTAAAACAAGAAGTTCACATAATTTTTGCTTGAAAATGTAATTTATAAAAAAAACTCCAAAACGGCTCCAAATTTTTCTTTTAATTTTTTTTTGGATAGAAAAAAATTTAAAATTTACACAAGAACCATTTTCGTCGACACTCTAAATTTGCGAAAATTGTACACTGCAAAACTATATTATTGATAAAAGATCGTTTCCCTTAATGTCATCTTTAAATTCTGTAAATGAAAAACTCCAAATTTTGTAAAGTGCAAATGGAACAAATCACTTTTTTTTCCTGTTGATGACCACTAGTTTTTATTTTGCTGACTATTCTGAGGTTTTCATTAGAAGTAGTAACGCTAAGTTTTCGCATCGAGTGAAAACATTTTCAGAAATTGAAGATGTTGAATTTTGTGGTTTTAGTCCCAGCGTGAGATCAAATGCAATTCTCAGAGTGTTGATTGAAGAGATCGGTAGCTTTTGATGAATCGTTCACCTATCATAATCCTTAGAAACAAATTCTCTACGAATTTTATTACAGCGTATAGATGACATGTGAAACTTCACGGACTCATAATGAAATTGAATAAATACTTTAAAATTTCAATGCGGTCAAAATGCCTTCTGGGAGAAATCTGGTGTCAAGGGTAAAAAATTAAGAATGTAGGCTGTAATTAAGAATGAAAGAAAGGTTCTCAGAGGAACGCAACACAAAATGTTACAACGTGCTATCAGCGTAAGAATACATATCTTCCCGACAAACATATTGCATGTACATCAGAATAAACATTTTGGTAGAAATTGATTGAAGGTTGCGTGAAATATCCCCAATAATTATTTAAAGGAAAGTAAAAAGTTTGTTCTTCAAAATAGAAAGAAAAATTGGGCCTTTACCGGCCTATTTTGTAAATAAAATGAGTACAGGGCCTTATGGAAAAGTGTTCGCGAGCATACGTTTTTTTTTAGATATATGAAGTAAAATTGTCAAAGTACCTTTTGTGTTCTATTTATAGTATTTTTTTCAGGAATGAGGTATCAATTGTAACATACCTCACCAGCTATTCTGAGGAGTAATTAAGTCAAAAGAACCGCGAAATTCATAGTAGAAGCACCCCTGTAGAATCACGTAAAATATTTTCTTTAAGATCACGTATCGGGAACCCGTGTTCTTCCCATCTGGTAGTCAATAGCATAAATAGTGTCTATGTATGTATTTCTCTCTCTCTCTCTCTCTATATATATATAATATATATATCTATATATTATAATATATATATATATATATATATATATATTGCAACGGAACACGTCACCTTCCGCGACGCTCCGGCATTCAACTTTGAACCTAGCGTTCCTTCTAGCGTAGGTATCACTGATTACGTGCGACGCCCTCTCCACCGCTCCGTCTTCGGCTCCTACCAGTGATTCTAATTTTCTCTGCTGGGAATGACATGGGAAACATACACAAACATACAATAACAACGCTACGAACTCCTTTTGAATATATCACCTTTATTAAAGTAAAAAATATAACTGAATCGTTTACAAAAAACTACAATTTCAATGGACTTGAAACAATGTTCTAATAGTAAATAATAAGTCTTTCCCTTCCTTTCTTTACGACAGAACTTAATCAGATTAGTAATGAACGAGCTCCTTAAATTACAACTTTGAAACAATTTTTAATGCGACCAGCTGGTGCGATTCTAATTTTTACTTCGCCGTTGTCGGCGCTCCTTAATAACTTAATACTATGACGTTTCGATGCGAATAACATGCAAACACATTTACAAAACCTGTTTCAGAGCACGAAATTTCAAAAAGATCGCGCGAGCAAACTGAATCCCTTTAAGATAGTAGTTCGCGCTTGTGAACTACTGCAACTTTAAATGTTTTTTGAGGCATGAAATTTCATAACTGCCTATGGCAATTTTTGATCGAAGTGTCACACTTTTTACACGTTCTGTGATCTGTTCTTTACAAAGTTTACGGGTACTCACTCTTCCGCATTGACTTTGGGGGAGAGAGACTCCTCCGTGCGAACGCTGTCTTCTTTGCACCGCGCGCTAATGAGACAGCGACGCGACGCCGGCCCTTTGCGTGGCCTAGCTGCCGCGAAGGCGATGACTTAAGCCGTTCTGCGGTGTCCTCGCCGAGCGCGTACAATCCCGCCAGCTCCACGTTCGTTCTTGGGGTCCTCCAGTCCTCGTTCCGTACTTCTCGGATGCGAAGCGGTGTTGATCCCGTTCACGTGCGGATAGTCCGTGATTATCCGAATTGCTTTAATTGCTCCCCCTTTTCATAACTATTGGCTGCGCGCACTCCTTGAATTTCATTTACATCGGCGAGGTAATTGCTTAGAAAGGCACGAAACTAAACAGTTATTTCTGGAGATTCTTGTACTTGATTTCCCAGAAAGCGCTTACTTAAACCTTTCAGATGCGTCGCGCGATTAACTATAATTCTCGTAGCACCGAGTAAAGAAATTACTATGCGGATTTGCAAAATCAAAAGCTAGTACTGTTCACCTCGGCAGATCTTGGAAGTGTCCCGCGCACCAGTCGCGGGGCTGTCCGTTGCGGCGAGCTTGCTTGAACAGCGCCAGCGAATGATAGCGCGTATCTACATCGTCAGCATTGGCGGCGACTGAACTGGATACGGGTTTAATTTCTGCGTCGAATGAAACTGTCATACACGTCATCGCGCGCGGTTTTTGAACGCCTGATTGTTTCAATTGATGGCGCAATCATATCTCCTTTTCCATGGGACGATAAACCACCACCACTATGCACCTAGAGGGATGATTTACATGAATGCTCAACACGTGCTTAAATTTATCCTAGGGCAGTAGGATCTTCAGGTATGAGAAAGGATAACCCAAGACACGCAAATAAAATGTAACTAGTGCATGTACTCTAGAAGTTAACTGATACACATACACAACTCAAAGTAAAAAATTGCATAATTAACGAAAAAATTACACTGTAATTGGATCGTCAAACTTATCTTAGCATTTCGTTCCTTGAAACATTAGTCACACAATTTAAAAGCCGCCAACATTCTTTAAAATGTAGGCTTTCTTTAAAATATTTATATCCAGTACCATTTCTACAGTGTACGGCTACTTCGTGATGCAAACATTTGCTCTACATACATAAGAAATGGAAAAGGAACTACTCCTGAGTGCAACCACGTCTGATTAATACATTTATATTTAATAAATGTTTTAAAGAATTTAAATTTAACTTAATACATTTTATATTTTTCACGATTATTCAACGATACACATTAAACCTTCCACGTAAGTGGCATTCTCATTAACGCAATGATGGCATACTATGTTCTTATTTACATAATCAATTTACAAACTTTAAATATTTCTACTCGAACTAACGTTAAAGAAGTATGTCGCAAAATTCTACAAGGCTTTACGCAAACGCCACGATAATGTAATATGCTTTCAGACAAATTTAACTATAAAATAACTAATTTTCTCCCCGAAGGTTTCATCTAAGTATTCCCACAGTTTCTACAATTTGACTTCTTGACCGCAGCTCGACGTTTCACGTTTCTGTATCACGTTTCGCGGCTGTATGTAACGCGACTGTATCACGTTTCTAGCGGTCGTGCGCTTGTCGCAACACTTGTCGGGATAATTCCGTCGCTATCACCGTCGCATAGTTTGCGCTGGCTCGGTGCTCGCCCTGGCCACGCTGTTTCGTCACGCCGTGACCTTGCTGTGCGCGCAAGAGATCGCGCTGCCGACTCCGGTACATCGCCTTCGCAGACCTCGTCGGAAGTCGCTCCTGCACTTGCCAAGCACCAGATCGAATCCAAAATTCCAGCTGCTTCGTTCTTCTTCGGACACCTGCACGCGCTCGTACGCCTCTTCTTTCTTCCTTCGTCCCTCACGCAGAGAACTCCGATGCGCCTTTCAGTCTGTGCACATACGAACAGCTAACGGCGTCGTTTATCTTCGCGTCGCTTTCAACTCACAGTAGGTTTTACGAACTTTTGTGCTCTCGTAACAGTTATTACCGCTTCTTCCTATGTAGGTATTTCACCTAAACTACGTAACGGTCTACTTCGCAAATCGAGTTCCTTATTTCCTGAACCTTTTTACCAACTCGTCTTCTGCCAAGACCTCACGCTTAACTCGCAATGGTGGATTTCAACTAATTCCCTTTCAACACTTCAACATGCAAATCTATCCTCCAAAATGTCGGCTTCGTCCTTCACCTGACTGGCAACATTCTTACAAGACCGTCAATGTCCGGACCCACAAAAAGCAAGACTGTCGACGCTCGAATCCAGAACAAGAAGAGTACCGAGTCCGCTGTCCGGCTTATTTATGCGCCGACTCTTTCTGGGAGGGGTGAATGTGCGTCATAGCCCTACGGGAGTGACCCCTCGCTTCGACCATGTCTCGCAAGTGCCGCGTTGCGTTGCAGTCAGCGAATACAAGAGCGCGCGTTCCGATCATAGGGGCACGCGCTCTTCTCTCTGGCTTCTCCATATGGGATTGTAGCCTCGTGGTTGGCTGTGGCGTTTGGCGAATGGGCCAAATGTCTAAATATTTGTGTGTGGTTATGCGTGTATATATGAATCTTATGAGAAATATGGCTCAGTTAACTCACACAGCATACACTGGGCAGAACTTAATTTGTTGCACATTATGTAATTTTTCAACAGGGCATGACAACAAATTCAGTCATACCTGGTATATTGTGCGAGTTAATTAAGCCGTATTACTCATTAGATAAAATGACCACTGAGATCATCAATTTATATTCAATTATACAAAAATAATGACATTTAAAACTAATTAAAAGAAATGAAAATGCATAATATTGTGTACCTGATGGGAACAAGACAGGTCCCCGGAACGTGATATTAAGAAAATATTTTACGTGATTTCCCCAATTTCTTACCACAATAATTTCACTGTCTAAAAATATATTTAGGACCACATTTATATAATTAATAAGACAGTCATAAGATGAACGAACCTCTAATAATAATGCAAACATAAGAAACTGAAAAACAAAACGAGGGACTAAATGTAATCAACGTATTTCCAAAGCAACACTTCAATACTTCCTTCAAATATTTTCAAATCATTCCTTGATAATTCATTTAAATCCTCCATTCACATTTACAAGCAGCTATTGTTCCATACATATCCATATACATAATATATCCATATCTATCCATACATATAATAAATAGTTGAATATTTGATTAGCGATTAGCACGAACATTCTACATTTATAAGTAATGTAAAAATAATAAAGTAATTTAATATTAACAATGCCAAAAATGAAAACTTTCACTTACTCATGTCATACTGATGGTCCAATACACACGGAATATATTTCTGGCTGGATTGCTGTTGGGAACTTTTGTTACAGGCAATTTGCTCTGTACTCTGATTTTCATTTCTTCTGGTTTCAGAACTCTGTGACATGCTCGTGTCGTCTGTAGAGCGTGGAGGAGAACTATTGTTGACAGAATCTGTTTGGTTTTCTTCACAATAGCCATAGTTACTTTTATTAATGTGAAAAGAAACACTGCCAGTATTTATATATTCATTCAGGCATGAAAATACCCTATTCACATTTAGTTTGCTGTGCAGTGAATTTCTAGACTCATCCAACACATCATTTGTTTTATTTATATTTGGATACTTCGACGAATGACGTTTGGGATGTGACTCGTTCAGGTTCCTCTGTTCCACATCATAATGCAACAATCTGTCATCAATTTTTTTATTGAGCAATGAATCTTTATTAACAATTCGAGTAGGATATTCAGTCGGTAGAGATTTACTTTCCCTTAATTCCTCATCTTGCAGTTCTTCATGGCTGCAGATTGGAGATTTGCTCTAAACAAGAAAAACATGATAGTACATTACAATACTGGAATTTTTCGTTTCAAGATAGAGTACCGTCAAAGGACAATACACAATAAATTATAACATAAATAATATTAACATTCATAATTTGTACAAGATGGACTCGTACAACATTTCACACTTTTTTAAATCACTGTTTTAGAAGTGAAAATAGCTCCGTGTGCTGCAGGTTGCAGGAGCGCCGTCTCCTTAAACTGTACCATAATTAGCAAACTATTAGTTTTTCGTCATAAATATGTTTGCTGCAGGTCTAGGATTAATAGCGGTACCCCGTGTGGATTTAGAATACTAGCACTATGGGTCTAATAGGTCCCCCCTGTCGTAACCACATTGTATGGATTCGGTTATGCAGGGATCTTTGAAGGTGAGTCACAACTACCTCGCCTTGTCAACAAAGGGAAAGCTGACGACTCCATGGGTAAAGCTCAGGATTGTTATTGAGATGGTAGACTCTACTGAAGAGCATGCAACACGTCATTGAAAAATTAATGCCAGTAGACGTTCTCCATCGATACCATCTAATAATGTCAAGTTGAAGCTGCCTTTCTATGACATTTAGACTTCTGCGCTAACAGAAAATACTGTATTCGTCCATAAAAAAATTCTTTAATAGGTCATTAAAAGTTCACGTATAACAAACGCGAAAGAAATAAGAAATGGCAAAAGATGACAACACTTAAGATTGATCTCAGAGGAACACCGTTATCCAAGGGGTGACTATCCAGCGTTGATCGTTGCTTTCTAAACCCACATTAAATTGTGGTCAGGAACAGTGGAGAATCCAGAGGAGGGCATGCCCCCTCCCAAAAAAGCCTACTTTTTGTTCCTGTATTTGGTAAAATTCATTAAAATATTTGTTACAATTATGTAATTATTTAATAATATTGTATAAATTAATAATAATATTGTATAGTATTATTTACAAGACACTACAAAAATAATGTACTATACAATAACAAATGTTTATTATTTAACAAAAATCTATGATAGTGGCCCCCTCCAAAATGATCGGCAGTATCCACCCCAGGTCTGGAAATTCCTCGTCTGTAGGAACCAGATCACGTTCACAAATGTAGTTGACTACATTGAAAATTTGTACTTACACAACTGGTTAAAAGAGATCAGACGTAACTGAATAGTAGTGATAGGTTCTTTTCCTTCTTTACAAATCGGAATTCTCGTCGTATATTTCAAATATATGTATTTCTCGTAAGACATTCGATTGGAAAGATTGCTTGTGGTTTACTTTGCTTACATTGTTTTGGCACAAGTTTCATCCTCGCGATATGTATCTGATCAGCTCCAGAAGTTTTTTGAAAGCGTTAAAGTGAATGAAAACAGCATCGAGCACAGAGAAAGCGGAGGGTGAAATGGCGTCGAATTCGTCATGCGAAAACAGCAGGCATACTTTGGAAGGCTGTTTGCTTTTGTCAAACAATTGATGCGAAGCTAGATGACATTAGGTTATCTTTTTTATTACTAACAACAATCTGTCGAGCATCAACGAGAGACTGTCGGCTCTTGAAACCTTGCCGGCCACAGTTAACAATATGTCATCTATCAAGGGACTTACTGAACAAGCAGCTGCTACTTCCTCGGCCCAGAGGGAACTGGAAGCTAGGCCAGAGGAGACAAGAACGCAAATTATTTCTTTCTGACCTTGGGAATGGCTTCTTACTTATGATCTTGGAAATGGCGCTGGAGGTAGTTAGACAAATGTCAGAAATGTTCGACAAATGCCAGAGGGGACTAGAACGCAAATTATTTCTTTCTGACCTTGGGAATTGCTTCTTCTGAACTTGGGAATGGCGCTGGCGGTAGTTAGACAAATGTCAGAGTTGATTGACCGAACCCAAAGAGATGCTGAACTGATTATATTTTGTTCCACTTATTTAACTGCTGGTCGCAATGAGACTACTCCTAATCTGGTTTCAATTCTGTTAGCTATTGCTACCGTACTGGAAGTGGCATTTGATGTAAATTGTAGTTATAATATCTACAGAATTAAATCAAAAAATCAACCGATAGTGGTACGCTTTACTTCCGTGACTGACAGTAATAATTGATCGATGCCAGTTTGATTCCTGGAGAAGGAAGAAGTCACGTAAAACTTTGGAGGTAAATCCTGATTGGCCAGATGCTCCCATACACAGCAATTAAAGGACTATAGGAAACGAACGTAAATTATTTCGTAAATGCGAAATAAATAGCAACGGAAAAGGATTATAAATCGGTGTGGAAGCAGAGTGGGATAATGTGAAAAATATAACCAAATCCCGATTAAAATTGAAGCAGCTAGCGATCTGGAAAAACTTTCGGTCTGGCGTAATATCAACGGTGCACATAATTTGCGTGGTGAACGTCACATTGCAAAACCTGTCAATTTGCCATTTAAATGTTCGTTCTCTTGTTCCACACTAATCCTATCTTGCTGCCCTTGCCTCATATTGTGATTACGATGTGTTCACAGGCTGAGACCTGCCTTGATGCCAGGACTGCTGCGTTGCCAGTGGCGTTACCAGTTTACATGGACATGCCAGAGGAGGAGTCACTATTTATCCAAAGAAATCTATTAAATTCTTGAGAATAGAACTTCCTGATCCCGAAAATGATTCTATGGACTGTGTGGGAATATACTTACCTGAATATCTAATTGAGAATAGAAAAATGCTGGCTATTATTACTGTTTATCGACCACCTTCGTTATTCGCTGAAAGAGCTCTCACACCTTCAAGATTGTATTGCAGAAATACTTTCCGTTACACCATCAGTTGTATGTCTTGGGGATTTAAATATAGATGTAACTGGTAGACATTCTGGAGTTATTAGGTCTGCATTCTTTCTCACTCGATCTTTTGCAGTCTTGATCTACCCATACCAACGTCGTCTTTTCGACGCAGAATTTTGAAACGGGACTTCGATCAAATTGACAACATTACCTTCAACAACATGACTGAACAATCATATTGGGATGATATCTACAATCTTACACTGGATCTCAAACTGCAGCAGTTTAATGATAATTTACATAATTTGATTTATTTGCGCCTATGAAGGTAATTAAATCTAAATGGCCAACACCAATCTGGATGACTCCGGAAATTAAACGCTGCAGATGCAAACGTGATACAGCCCTTGCGAGAGTTTGTCGTCAATACGGACGCCAATCGTCGCACGCTTGGAATTCTGCGTAAGGAGGCTAAAACGTCGGTTGCTGATGGGAAACGAAAGTACTTTGATAAAGAGATTCAAGGACAAGTGGAATGGACTTGAGCGTGCAGGGCTGCAAAAGGTTGAAACCAGCTTTACCTAATAGTCTACATTTTTTAAATGAAGAATTAATGAATAACGACTTCACGAATGATATACCACAAACAACTCCTGATCCAATACACGAGTATGTTGAAGATGTCGATGTTTATGATGCGGAGAACTCAAGAGTCTGAGCTGATTAGCGGCTACATGTTGCTGAACGTCATGAGAAACATCAAGTTGACTGGACCGGCATTTCGGGAGAGATGGTACAAATGTGCCTGCCTTCCTTTTTGAGCACCTGACTCATTATCAACTATTCCATTCAAATGTGTACTTTCCCTACCATCAATCGTTTACCTCCAGAAAGGAATTTTACTCGGCACATGAATGGTACTGCAATAAATACAGTTAATGTGTAAATAACTTGGATTACTTCCGATTGGTCGTTCACATTGTAGCGTCACGGCTTGGCAGCAGCCGAGTGCAAGGTAGAGGGCTGGGGGATCTAAAGATAGACGCCCAAACAAAGACGGGACTTTCCCGACAGGAAATGGTCCGCGGGCCAGGCAGCGCCAGGGAAAGGCTTTCCACCGCGCGGGGGTGGGGAGTAGTGACGTAGGAGGTCAGGTGACCTGGACCTATAAAGACGCCGTGGCGAGACGGCGCGGGTGGGTAACGATTTTGGTTTCCTCGTGGCTAGACCACAAAAACTTTGTCCGCCCAGGCTGGTGCGGAGTGCCGAGGGCACGTGGGTGTTCGACGAGTTCGGACAGGGTGATGTGTTCTTCAAACACATTCGGGCAGATCGTCAATCTGCCGGGGCACACCAGGTGCCTATCTGCGACGCGGCCTTGCAGGCTGGTCGTAGGCGTCGCCGCAAGGCGCACGTAGGGAGAGGAGGGCTGCAGTGGTAGCTCTGGCAAACCGCCTTAGAGTGAGGGATGTAAATATGTACAGTGTGTAAATAAAACTTGTATATACTCACTCGTGTCTGTTTCCTTGTGGTGTAGATCCCTACACACGACGTTACAACATCTCATGTAACCAACAAATGTCTAGCCTCATTCTTCGGAATGAAAAAATTATTTTGACTTCGCAAAATTTTACCAACATCTCTTAAATTACAATTGGTATCCTCCTTGGTGATATCGGTACTTGAATATGGAGATGTTGTCTACGATACATGTCTGTCACTACGATTATATGAAAGAATCCAGGCGATTCAAAATTCATGCCTGCGTTTTATTTTGATCTGCGGAAATACGATTACCTAACAAATGCATGGGATCAGTTTAAGTAATTAACTTAGAAACAATGCTGAATCCGCCACCTTTGTGCATTGGTCCATTCGATCTGTGATACCCGGGGGAACCTTCTAATCTTCGTGAGAAACTTTATCTTCATGAACAACAACACGTGGGACGATGCTAGAATCTGCGAAACCCCACATTGTTATCAATACCTACGCATCGTGCCTATAAATTTAAATCTGCTATAAGTTATTTTGTCCCACATTTTTATTTTGCCCTTCCTGAAACATTACGTAATGCTAACTTCGATCTGTTTGTGGAACTTTGCCTGAGCATACTCGGCACAGATCTTAATTGTTCCAAATATGATTTATTTTAATTCATTTATGTATGTTCTACTTCATGTTTGTTCTGTTTAAATTATGTTCTATTATTCTTGAAAATATGTGAAAATGAGAAATTTAT